TCTTTCATTGACAGGCTCATATATCCCACCCTCTCTATAAATGGTTGAGTCTCTGGAAAAATAAATAACTCGCCAGCTGTACGCCGTAACGGCCTTTCGCTGCCACGCGACCACCACCAGCCGCGATGGCACCCACCCCTACGCGGATTCAAACCGGTGAGCTTATGGTTGCAAACCATGCGCGCAGACTACTCCGCCACCGTCTGACGAGCCTCTGGAAATCCACATGGGCCTTTCTGATGCGCGAATTAACTTCCTCAGTGATGTGACCACCAGAGGTGACACAGCTACCAAGGTAAGTGAGCCGATCCACCACTTCCAGTGGCTGTCCGGTGATAGCTAGAACTGGGGGTGTGTCTGTCCAGTACTGCAGCAATACTTTGCACTTCGAAGGTGCAAAGCACATGCCGAAGCGTGTGGTACTACACGTCAGTTTATCCAGCAGTGTTTGCATAGCCACTGCGTCAGACGCTAAAACAGCTCCGTCGTCCGCATACTCCAGGGTTGTCAGTCCGTCGCCTGGCAGAATTTCCACCTTGGTAGAGTTTGAAAAAACACAGTCAGTCATGATCCTTTCGATGACAAAGTTGAAGAGGAAAGGAGATATTGGACAACCCTGACGAACCCCGCTTGTCGTGGGGAATTCAAGGGACAGTTTCCCGTAGACACTTACACGTCCTCGGGAATCACGGGAGAGAAACTTAAGAATGAATAGGAAATTAGCCGGCACGCTCTTCTTGGACAGGCAATGCCACAATCTGGCGCGGTGAACTGCGTCGATGGCAGCTTTCAAGTCAAGGAAAACCACCATATTCGGTCGTCTGTATGTGTGTCTGCTCTAATACTTGGCGAAGAGAAAATATGTGGTCCATACTACCACGACTAGGGCGGAAACCTGGCTTTCAGTGATTCGGTTCTCACGTGGATAAGTAAGTCGTCAGAGAATGATACCCGTGAGGAGTTTAGATGCATTGGAAACAAGGTTATTGTCTCGATGATTTTCACACGAAGTACACTGTACCTTCGTGAAGGTGGGCATGACAGTTTACAGTCGCCAGTCTGAAGGTACCCCATCACTGCTCCAAATCATGCTACATAGAGTAGCGAGTCCAGTCAACAAACAAGACCTGCGCAGTGACCAAAAACCTGGTAGTTGTAGCGTTCTTCCGAAATGAAGACCGGTGCCCTCTCTGGCAATACTCGCAAGCTTTTTCGATCCACTGGCCACATGTAGCTAGTGTCAGTAAAATTATTCGTAAAGCCGATGATCCGCTGATCACTAACCTAGGGAGCCGCTTGAATTGATGGGCGGAACACTTCAATTACCAGTTCAATTGTCTTATGCCGTCCACTTGTATGCCTCGTGAACCTCGCTGCCTACCCTTGGTCGTCACACTTGATCTATCCAGCGAAGCGGTAGTTTACCTTGCGAATCGCCACATGAAGCGATTCAGGACTGTCGACCGTACCGGACTTCCTCCGTAACGATTAAAGAATGGAAGCGCAGTATTCACCGTTTAAGAAGCCTCATGGTTCTCCAAAATCCAGCATGAAGAAATAGTAAGTTATAATCCCAATTTTTAAGAGGGATGCTTGTGAATCACCGGATATTAGTTTCATTTTTGTTGGCCCCAAGCCGTTGGCATCTATTCTACTTCATAGACTATTCCCGATTTGTGAATCACAGTGCCGGAAAGGACAAGCTAGCTTCCGTCCAGGTTGTGGGTTTGCGGACCGAACACTGTCACCTCTACCAGAGGCTTACTATGGTTGCATTCCTAGACATCCGTGCTATATTCGATCTGGTTGGTCGAGCTGCGATAGTGTTGCTTACTAAAGAACAGATCCCGGAAAAGTAAACTGTCATGCTGCGCGCACTTTATTATCAAGTTTTTGATGAGCTTTCCTTGTCTGCTGCTCTGAGTAGCGGTGTACGGAGGGTGCCCATCAAATGCCTCGATGACCTAGACCAAAATTTGCCATTTTGACATCAGATACAGATGGCGCACACCAGTCCAAGAGTGTCGAAGCACTAGCCTTATTTCCATCACTTTCAAACTTTTCGCGGGTATCATTCTTCGACGACTTACTGGTCTTGATAAGAGCCGAATTATTGAAAGCCAAACTGGATTCCGCCTTGGTCGTGGTTGCATCGACCACATATTTACTATTTGCCAAGTGTTAGAGTAGAGATACCTACAGACAACCGACTATGGTGGTTTCCATTGACCTTAAAACCGTCTTCGATTCTGCTGATCGAGACAGCTTGTGACACTGCCTATCAGTGAAGGGAATGACTGGAAAATTCCCTTCCAATCTGGTGTCTTGACTTTGGCCCCCGAGGTGTAGGACAAGGGTCAACGGGATCCCCTCGGCAGGTGTAGTTCACCAGCATTGTTCTGTATCTCCTTACCTGTTCTTGTTCGTGATCGAGATGATCATGAATAACACTGTCCTTTCAGACTCTACCGGAGTGGAAGTTCTGCCAGTTGATCGACCAACAAACCTGACACAGTGGCTATGCGGGCGCTACTGAATAGACTCGCAGTTTACGTTGCTCGCATCGGCATGTGTTTTGCACCCCAAAGTGCAAAGTATTTTTGCAGGGCTGAATCAATACGCCACCGGTTCTAGCTACCGGCGAACAGCCTTTAGGAATTGATGGTGTCTGTGCCACTTGTGGCGGTCACATCACTGGGCTAATCCCATGTAGTTTTCATTAGGCTCAGCCATCAGTGGAGATGACGGGATATCAACCTTTCCGTGAGAGATGTGGTGTATGGTCTGCGGTAAAGGCCGGTGTTACTGTGAGAAATCAGAGACTTGGCCGTTTCGCGGTGAGTGCATTAAACGCTTGGTCATGTTTGACCACCGGTGGGTGCGGAGCAGAGCTTACTTCTGGTGGAAATAGCGGGTGAGTAATGCCGAGGTCCAACAGCAAATTTCTGATAAGAAGCCTTCTAATACTTCACTCAGGTGTTAGCTGAATCTTAACCACTCACGTTGGCTAGGTCATGCACTCCATATGCATTCCTCTGCGTGTGTTATACTACCTTACTCAAAGTTGAGTGTTGGAATTCACACCGTATGGCTCGTTGGGCGAAACACTTTCAAGATCAATTCAGCTGGCCCCCTGCTCCCGGACCCCTTCCTACTCTGGTAATGCAGGACGAGCCATGGACGGTTAGTTTAGAGCCTATGTCGGAGGCCAAAGTCCTAAACGCGATCACAGCCCTCAATCGTTTTCGTGCAGCTGGCCCGGATTCCCTTCCACATGCACTATGTAAAGAGGGAGGCGAGGCCCTCTGCAAAGCACTGACCTTATTCGGATGTATCTGGAAGGAAGAGAGCGTCCCGGCTAACTGTAGCTAATTGGAGCCATTTGAACTGATGCTTCCCTGCCATACAACCATGAGGAATTATGAAATAAAGAATAAGAAGAGGGAGAGAAGGGGGACCTACCTATAAACCTTAATGCCCTAAGCAAACATTCAGGGTCAAGACACTTACCCCTTTTGAAGACAACATACCGTCACAAACAGCTGGTTATCGTTCAAAGATACGGCGTCATCGGCAAGACAGCTTCCTTGCGGCCTTCACTGCCACGCGTCATAATCAGCCATTACCCCACAGATAACTCAACACCAAGCACACTTTAAACAGGCAATCCGATTAGGAGACGGCAGCAGACGCGCCACTGGTGTAGGTTGCGAGCCATGTACCGTAAAGTCTCGAGCCAAGCACAAGGCGGTTCACGTGGACTCCAGCCCGGAATGTGAGACGGACCAACGGCCCCCAGTTTGGTCGTCAGTGACTTCATTTCTCGCTGCCAAGTCAACTTCTGTCCACCTCGAGCCTTGCACCATCCTACACCTGGTATACTGAACAAGGCCCTGCTAGGTAAGCGGTACCCAGGCATACGTAGCACGTGCCCGAGCCAACGCAACTTATTCATTGCTATATGTTGTTCTAGGGAGCTAGCATGATTGTCACCACCTAGTACTCGCCTACGCACATCATCGTTGTGGACACGCTGGTGCCATCCGACATCAGCAATGCTTTGCAGACTACGAAGATCAAAGACTTGAAGGCGCCTCAGATCTTCAGACCGAAGGGGCCAAGTCTCACTCTCACAGAGCAGAACGGCCCTCACTGTGGCCTTGTATACATGGCCTTTCAGACGGAGGGAAATTCCCTTCTGTCGCCAAAGATGCAGCAAGTTCAAGAAGGCAACTCTGGCCTTTGCCATGCGTGAGTTTACGTCAGTTTCTATGCGCCCATCGTTGCTGACGCAGCTGCCAAGATAAGTGAATGGATCAACAACCTCGAGTTCCTCGTTAGCTAGGGTCTATGGGTCATAAAGTGGCTGGTGGTCCTGCAGCAACACAACTGCGTCCTCTGCATTATGTTGTTGGCGGCATCCGGTTTCGGATTCGCCTATCACAGTGATCGCCATAGGAAAACCACAGGACGCCTGCGCCTACAGAAGGACCTTAGATGGCTTGCGCTGCACCACACAGCGCCAACCACACCCCCCATATCCAGTGTAAACCCGAAGGAATAAGACCGGGAGGCATGTGGATGGGAACCACGTTTCATTAACGGAGCCGGTTCACACTCCTTCATAGGCAAGCACGGGCACGCTGTATTTGGGAATCAAGCACACACAATTCGGTGGCTGGATCGTACTCCGCTCCACACTGATTGCATGGAATCACTCTTTGATCCTGACACGGCCACAAGGATCGTGCACCCCGTCCCCTCCGGCAACGACCAACTGTCTCCTAGAGGCAGTAGGTTAGACGATCATCTGACTATCTGTTGTCCTCATTTGGACTCTTGGTCAATAACCTTTATGAGAATTGGTTTGTTGGTAAGTGTAGACTGACGTCGACTCCTTATTTTCCGCGTAAATATGATGGCAACTGACTTCCCTACGCAATTTAATTTTCTAAATTGGAGTCTTTCGAACGATTGTTTCTCACTTCACTTCTTTCTAGGTGTCCGAAGCTACCAGGCGCGGCAAGTGGGGCACTGATGAAGCAAAAGAAGCCCAGGAAAACGTCCGACGCGCGCAGTTTGTCCAGCGCCATGTTGGTCCATTCCAGGCCCGCGTGCGCATCTTAGCTTCGACCTACCGAGTAAGTCGTCTGTCGCTGGATCTCAGTGACGTACAGCCTCTTTACATAAATCATCCTTATTGACATCATAGTCATTATTTCTCGAACTTTGATGCTCTGTTGTATGCTGCAGTAGAGCTGTTCGATGACTTTCCCGGCAACTTATCTGCAAATTATAATGGCACTAGCAACCTTGTAACCTACAAGAATGGTACACTGGAAAAAAGTGCTCAGTCCATACAATTTTCTTTCTGTGGACTGCCTAGGTCGTGCGTCAACTTGTGACGAATTTGAAGTTCATTTCGGTTAAATGGAAGTAACTTGAGTATTGTTTTGAACGATATTTGATTTTTGTTATGGGTCATCAGTGGTGAGTCGTGCTGCGTGATGAGGTCACCTCATTTGGCCTCGATGTGTACCGGTTAGTTCTTCTCCCTAATTCACTATGACGACTGCGCTTACTCGCCTGATGACATCTCCTCGACTGTCTTTTGAAGTCACATTGCAACTGCAGGTTAAGCTGAAATCCCATCCTGTGCGCCACTGTTCAGCTATTTGTTTTTCAGTTATACGGACAGTAAGATGGGGTAGAGATGCTGGACATGCACAGTTGTAGCCAACTGCCTACTTACAAGAGGAATGGGAATGTCATGCTACGATACCCGGATCGAGCAGAGATGCTGTCATCCATGTATATATATATATATTGGATTGTTTTGCACATTTGACCTTTCATACTGTACGGGGCTTACTCCCGATGCGTGTACCTTGGGTTTGGAAATCCATTCCCTCTTCTGAAATTTGTTAACCCCTCGCAACTGTCGCAAACCGTTTATTTTAGTAAAGACACTGTCATTCGATTTTCTGCGTTCACTTCTTGTTTCGATATGCGACTGTGCCCGAAATCAGAAGTTGTAGCTTTGTGATCAGGCCAATCCTGCGAAAGGTGTTGAGACCGGTGGAAAACCACTTGAAAAGATCGATTCCATGCGGCGGTCCATCTACCGAGGATTTTGCACGCGTTACTTCTTTGTAGGTCTTAGTGCCCTGCCGAACCTGAAGTTGAACGAAAAAGTAACCAACGAGCGTAAGTTAGATCTTAAACACCAGTCTTTGTTGCATGAACCTGAAGACTTGTCACTGCACACCGAAGACGTGGGATGTTTTCTCCTCTTTAGGTACATCTGCTAACAAAGTAATAATAATAGTGTGTCAGCTGTACGCCGTAACGGCGCTTCGCTGCCGCGTGATCACCATCAGTCCCACGCAGGCTGAGTATACCGCGAGGACGCCCACCTCTACGCGGATTCGCACCAGGGACCTTATGGTTGCAAACCAAGCGCGCAGACCACTCGACTACCGGCGTTTAGCAACAAGTCCGCGTCTTCGCATTGGAATCACTGTGATAATTGCATTGGCTGCACCAATCTCGTCACGCTCCTCATATTTCTGTCTGTCTTAACCTTTGTTGTGTCCCAATCTATTAACTCAACTTTTGCCCACATCTATCAAACGAAACAAAGCCCTCCACGGTAAGCGGTGACCGGGCATACATAGTAAATGTCCACGCCGACGTATCTTATTTAGTATTATGTTTTTCTAAGGAACTAGCATGATTCTCACTCCATAGCGCTCGCATACGCTTATCATCGTTGCGGACACACGGGTGCCGGGCGCACTTAATTGAACGACCTCATGAGGGTCATTGATCCTAGTTTCAGACACAACACGTCAATACCCAGTGGTCCAACGTGCGTGCTAGTGCAGCCTGTTGGTCTAGATGTCTTAGAGTGCGAACGTTGAACGCCGCTAGGGAACCGAGACAGCGTAGCCTTGTTAGACACTGTTGCCGATAGGCATCCAGTGAGTGGTGCGGGAAAATAGCTGCAGATGTTGTGACTCCAGTGGCATTGCGGCTGCCGTCAATTAAGCTGGTAGTTATAGAAGGTAGGTTAGTGATGGAGGTTGGGGGGAATGAGAGGGACAGGTTGGATAGAAAGAGGGGAGGCGCTAGCAATACCATATTTTTGCATATCCACCCTACTCTATGCAGCAGATAAGGCGACCCTTGATAGTTTGCGCGACAGCGGATGCGGTGGTTGAAGTTAGAAGAAAGATTCATGGTTGTACGTGGCCCAGCCTAGACTGGAGGGCGATTAGGGTCCTCAACCAAAGCCTTTGGCTCAAATGCCTGTTCACAAGGCAAAAAGGGTGGCAATGATTAAATTTTACAGAAATGGATGCCATCCCATTCCAAACCGTCGACCAGGAAACTGAGTTTGTCTGATCACTAACCATTGACCAACCTGGTAGGAGTAGCTCTCATAGGACCCGGAGGCACCACCCAGTATAGCTGATTGCGTCAGGGATGTGCGCAAATCGTCGCAGCACATCAAAGTCTAGTCTCGTTGAGCTGCACTACCCACACCTCATATCCAATGTAAATCCAAAGAAATAGAACTGAGGCATGCGGACCGGAGTCACCGTTGGTTGGGAGCCAAAATCGCTTGTCAAATTTTGTGAACCCTGCTTATCCAGAGAAACACAAATTGGTGACTGAACCGCAGCCTGTTCCCTGCTCGAATCTCTCCGATGCTGGCATCTGACGGACATATGCCTTGCTAACGCTCGCATCGGACACGATACATCAACTAACGGTGAATGTCAGGCACAGACTGACTGAAGCGATAGTGAGCATCATGCCTCATCAGCGTCAATACTAACGCATCCTGTATATTCAAACACTATCACATCGCAGTTTTTACTAGTGGACAACCTGGCAAGGATTGTATACGGATGAAGCTAGGTCCTTCGTGTTGCAGAACTCAGTCCTTCAGGGATAAACGTTTATTCGGCAAAGGCAGCTCAGCGAAAATTACAGCATGTTTACAAGCCAAACTCCTCGATAAAAATTACAGGTTCAAGTTCATAACTAACGACCATTCTGAGCCGATGAGTTACTTCCTTTACTTTAGTTAAACAAACGATGAATCACTCACACGAATATCGGCCAATCCGAGTCCAATAATCGAATCCGTCACGTCAGCCTACCATTGGCCGTCTGGCTCACTCGGTTGGTCCATCTGCTCACTCTTATCTGGTACTACCATCACATCCTCCCTTTTTTGTGTTCTTGCGCCTCCATATTGCTATCCACCCCGTACAACTTGTCACTCCGCGTCTTCTTCGCTGTATTTGCGGTTGTGGTCTCCATAACCCTCGCCATCTGCCACTCCACTCCCAATCCATATTGTTGTCTCCGGTGTCGTCTCAAATACGCCCGATATATTCTGGGCGTTTTCCCTCGTACGATACACAACTGGAGAAGATAGCGATTGCATGATAAAGTTAATTCCCCTATTAATATTGGCACAAGTATTTCTAAAAGTCGTATTTTTGACAAAGTATTTGCTGATTTTTCACGTATCCTAGGGTTGTTTTAATTTCGCATCCTAAAGATAAACTTTGGGGTGTTCTGAGAAGTTACTCATTGACAACCTGATATCGTTCCATTGGTCCTGTGGAGTGAAATTGACGTGCACAATGTTCTTGCCGTAATATGGTCCGGCTTACTTTCATCTTGTGGAGGGCGAATTAACTCGCCGGCCGGTTTGACACAGTCATACAGTCACCGGATCCAACCGAGGCGAACCTTTCATGGCTGTTGTGGTTATGCTAAACATTAACGCCTAATAATACATCGCGTTGCTTAACGGATTCCATCACGGAATTACGAATAAAACTTCCACTTCCTTTTTTAGGACATGGTGGTCAACTTTATCCGAATGCTCTGCGCCCATCCGGATCACAACTTACGATTTTTAGCCGAGCATCTGAATTTCAACGGACATTACCATTACCAGACTGGCTCTTCGGGAAGTGGCCGTTTGGGCTCTAACACAGATGTGAACTCATTCGGCAGCTCCTCCGCTGCACATCGATCCGGTCCGGTGTCTTCCGGCTCCAGTGTCCCGGAGAAAGTCCCATCTTGGAAGGATGTATCTGCTGGCGATCTCAGATAATATTTGCATACGCGGTCGCATGGTGGTGCTATCTTGGCTGTATCTCTGTGTCATTCAGTTACGCTGTTAATCGGCATATGCTAAACCGCCGACCGATCAGTGGCGTAAATGAGCGCTCCGAACGCACAGCCCAGACAGCTTTACCGAGCGGTCGCGTATGCAAAACTATGTTGCAAAATATTAGATTGATATTTTTCCAGTGTACGCGTTTTTCATCGTCTTGCAGTTGCACTTTGGGGTTGTTTCACGGCATCTTGTGAAACAGCTCACAAGATCTGTCCGTGTAGTTTTAGGTCACCATAAGAGAGTATTTTTAAGGTGGATATAATACGATATAGCATCAATGAAAAATACAGTGCCAAGAAAAACGAGAAAGGATGCATTTTCGCCCAAGTAAACGGTCAAATAACTGCGGCTTCATTCTTATTGGGTCGGCTGATAAGCGTGACAGAAAGGGCATGATGGAGTTGTGATCGAGAATCCATTTGCATCACAAAGGAATTCGTAGCTTTTGAGTCCAACCATGTCCTCTGCACGTTCACAACACGCATGATAGTGGAAGATCAGCCGCGCTAGATCGCAGTTAGATATCAGTCATGGCGGTGCGCAGCTGTCACCCATGTCTCTGTCACAGGTCGCTGGCTCGTAAGAATAAGCTCATGGGTTTGAATCCCGCAGGATTCGACGTGTGCGCGCTATTGGCCGGTCTCAATAGGACGAAACGGCGGTATATCACTCTACTGGATGTGCGGTGATTGTCATTTCATCTAGCCGCGAAGAATTTTCTCGAGAAACCGCTTACTTTGCTGGATAAATTTTTTTAACTTGAGCATTCAAATCACTAACGCGCAATGCAATATTCGCATGGTTTCGGTTACAAAGAAGCCCGGGCAGTTGATGATAGAAGTCATCTTTCACCGAGTCAGTGTACCGTATGTGAGGGCGTAGGAAACAATGACAAACAGGCACCGTTAGCTTCCACGCGACTACGAATGTTTGAACGAGTTAGCAACCCTGGGTGTGCCAGACCAGCTTCAACCGAGGGGTTTAGAACAATACGATTTATCAGACATTTGAAGCTGCATCACCTCCAGATGAGATAGTGCCGTCAGTATCACGCATGTCAGCCCACCGACTTACGCGACGTGCGTTGTTTGCGCGCCGGGGGTGTGGATGGATGAAGAGGAGGGGTGGCCAAGTGATGACTTGGTCGAGAGGATGAAGGCCCTCACCTCGAAGCTGGCCCCGGTTGGAGCGTTTCGGCTCCGAAAGACGATGAACACATTTGGCTGGATGCACTTGTTGACATGGCTAGGAGCCGACCTCGGTGGCGTTCCTGCTGTGAGTTTCTTTGTCCCACCCCATCCCTCTTAGCCTCCCCCTCCAATTACGATCTCACTATTTAGCCTAATATAATTTTGCATGATAGAATTTTTTTGCTGGATAGTAGCCAGCAGTTAGCTTACCGAAACGATGCCCATCCGTTACCGGTAGCTCAGCTGGCTTGCACCTGTTGCATTTTTTCTCTCCTTTTTTCTATGTATCGCGGCACAGTAGCTGAGGTGTTTCCCACCTCTAGCTAACGTGTATCATGATGATGATGATCACACGGATCGAGCACAAAGCTCAACTTTCTGGTAACCAACAGATACCGATCGATAGGGTCTCTAGTATTCGGATAAGTGCTTTTGTTGGTCAATCTGCAACAAAGTATGTAAGTCTTCTCCAAATAGAAACGGATGAACTGACGTATGATTAGTTGGACATGGACTTGTCGATAAGGTCGTGTCGACGCTCCGCTACTGCGTGTGATTTGAAGTTATAAGACAAGCGGCTATCGAAGCAAGAATAGAAGATTTAAAGATTGAGGGGTTGAAAACGGGATAAAATCGCAGTTGGAACTGGATGATAAAAATGAAAACATGTAAGGTGCAAGGAAAGAAGGCAGGATTATTTGAGTAGTGGCATTCTCAACCCTATCCACTCTGCTCGATGCAGCAGATAAGGCACCTTTGATTATCCTCTGCGAGGACTAGAGTATCAAGAAATTGTTTGGGGGAAGATTCATTGTGTTGCGTGGGAGGGTACTTTCAGGATGGCGATTATGGTTCTTAACCAAAGTCTCGTTCAAAAACCTGACCGCAGTACAGGTGGCGTTCGGCCTTGAGCCACAGTTTCTGTTTCGATGAATAGAGCCATCTTCACTCCAGCCCCTGTCCAAACTGGAGGACCAGGGAACTGGGTTAGTCTGGCCTCTAATCATTGACGGATATGGTGCGAGTGACTGAAGGTACAAGAAGCAACTCCTAGCATAGCTCAATTGATCATTGTGGTGCGCAAGCCATCGCACCACGATGAGGTTCAGTCTTATTGCTATGGTTTCTCATAACCTCCCGGAGTAAAGTCAGATCAATTGAATAGCGCAATATTGTTGCTATCGAAATTCTCGCTTAAACAAAGGAAAAAATATAGATTAGAACGCGGAAAGTTCCCCGTGTAGAACAATAATCTATATGACCGAATTCGAACGCCCCGCAACTCCATCCTCCCAACTGTAATTACGATACCGCTGTGTCCATACCTACTTAAATCCGTTTATTTTCTGACGCATTTTACCGTTCTGCGATCATTAGTCTAATAATAGTCGACGGCAATGGAATCTCTTATATAGGCATGCGCAGTATCGCCTTCTTTACGGAGAATTGGCAAACCATACTGCAAATGCATCGCTGGATCGGGACGAGTGGATATTACGTTGTAACATGTCCACGACCTAACACCGACATGGCAAATACGGATGACAAAGCAATCACAACCGCAGTTCTCGTCATCGGAGTCCAAAGACAGGCGAATGGCCTAGCCTATTGCAGACAATAGTCTGCGGATTATAAGCTCAGCTCAATCATCGTACCTCGCTATCAAGACCGGTTATCTCCGAGTGGTCATTAATGTCTATCCACCTGCATGTGTCTGCTGTGACAGAGCTCACCTATAGTAACATCGCACTGCGTCTTTGGGTCGAGCGCGTTATTCTGTCGGATTTAGTGAAGCACATATAACATTGTCTCGATTGCAAACGCACGTCCTTGAGTTGCTTCGAAACCTAGTGCGTATGCGCCTCGTTTAATCATTTGTTGAGACGACTTAGTTTTCCAATCTAACGTACAATAATCTAAACACATCTAACCAATTTATGCCTTGAGACCGGCGCACCACGTGTTGTCTGCCCCGTTCCCTGAGTAACAAAACGTTTGACAGCGCTGCCACTAGTTTTTAATCCCCCTCCGATCACGCCCCATCGGTGGAGGGATGAACTAGTAGTCTATCTATCGCTCCTGTTACGGTTTTTAAATTACGGTCCGTTAGTCAAATCTGTGTACCACTGCTACGAGATAACATTCAAAAAGGTCTTTATTTCAACTATTTGAGATAAAGTGATGCACACTGGTTTGGCAAATACCACAAGACCGAGGTTTGTTGACGCTGACTCAAGTGCCAACTAAAGAGTTGACGAGAGATGAAATAATTCTTTAAGCATGGCTAATTAAGCAGGGATCTAGCAGCCTACCATGCTTCAATTACCAAGCTGAAGTCTAACCGCGCATTTTGGAATTGAGAATTTCGTATCAGGCAATGATCAAAAAGAATGCTCGAGAGCACAAAAATAGGACGCATGTTTAAAAGCATCAGAAAAAATTACCATTGATCAGAGGGAGAAGTTGAAGATCACGTGCTAAAAACAGTAAGGGAGTATCACAGAGCACAAGCTTCGCAGATGTTAAGTGGATCGAATGTCAGCCAGCGGGAACATTAAGCACTTAGCTCGCATGTAGGCAAGTTTCGGGAGTTTGCATAAAGTGGTGCGTACGTTTGAACTGTGAACTGATCTTTCAGGCGTTGAGTTGTAGCTCACGTCGGTGGATAGCTGTGGTGGAAGAGATTGAACGGGCAAGGGGGCTACCTCAGCAAATATTTCACGCTCCAGCTCTGCGGGAAAGGAATAGTATGCAAGATATACAAACAAGATGGACAATTAAGTTTGCACATAAACAGCGCGATGATGCATGCGAAATGATTCCATAAATTTAAAAGAAGCGTGTGTGCAAACGGGTCGATACCTTGTTGTGATTGATGACAAACTGGTGTGTAAATCTTTCAGGCGAACACTTTTGGATTGGGTTTGAACCAACAGTCCTGCAATCACCATCTCCCGAAGTGATGTTTAATGAACAAGATCCACTCCAATGCATTAGCTCGCTCGACAACAAATTAACAGCAGTAGTTGTCTAACTAAATATACAAGAGGCATGCGATATGTACGCCAAGTTTCCGCGGTCCGGTTCACATTTGTCAACAAAGCACGTGGATACAGACTAGGGTATCGATGCGTTTTCGTGACAGGGCATACCAAGAACTAGTCGCGGTGTTTGCGTTACGTAGGCCAGTCAATCGGGACCAGAAAAGCAAGCCGACCAGACAGAAGCTTCAACAAGCGAAGTGAATGCAACGCAATCTACTAGTCACAAGAAGCAGGAAATGCTAGTGTTGCAACTGAGATTGTGCCCGTTGTGTGTGTCGGTGACGGAAGGAGAAATACACCATGTAACGCAACTAGAACTAGGCTGGACAAGCGCACATGAACAGCGATAAAAACGTTTGGTTGCGGTGTGTAACGATAAACTTAGCTCGAGGATCTCAGCGGCCTAGTAATCAAGATGTCAGTCGTGAACCAGTAAGTCCCAGTTTTCACTCCTAGCTCCGACAACCTCTACCTAGTGAGTCAAGACAGGGATGAAACAGGTCGCAGGATCGAATAACATCCAAATCTCTTCACTTCAGATATGATCTAATTGGTCGGAATGGCCGAGGTCTATTTCAAAATGAATCTAGGTACCAATGAAGATTTTCTGTCGCAATCCAACAACACGGCGAGTATTTCAAGGCCCGAAACTGAAGCAGTGCTCGCAGATCTGTGACGCAATGGACCGATGGTCCACTGTTAGTCCTGGCTATCTCCAACTAAAGAACACAAATGAAGGCGAAACCGGTCAGTGTAGGGTTTGAGCAACATCGGAGTCTCTCCACTGCGGAGAGAGGTCTCAGTAATCCGAGACGACTTTCGAGTTTGTATGTTGTAATCTAGACACAGCGAGTACTCCAACACAAAGCGTTAGAATCTGCCTCTTGAAGTAGCGCTCCATCCATACGTAACACAACGGTATCACAGGAAGTGTTATTGACATAGCAGAATGATCTAGATGAAAATTGTTAGGAAGGAGTATCGCAACGAACGAACGCCTGTGCGCCTCCTTATATCCTGGTCAGTCGAGTCCTGAATTCTGCCACTTCCATCGAGATTTGAGCGCCAGAAGGCCGCATTACAAAAGAGAAGTACTTGCTGTAATAGGAAGTATTACTTCCCCATAGTCATGTCAACGGGATGAGCCACTCGATTCTGATGAGGTGAATATGCGAAGCCATTTACGTTAGACTGGAAGTAGTCGCATTACACAAGGCGGTACCATGATAACAAATGAAAGTACTTGCTCACCTAACAATCTGGATCGGGTTGAATCTGTAGTTGTGCGAACAGACAGAGATGGCCGAATGTCAAAATCGCCTAAATCCAATTGCCCGGTGGAATCCGCAGTGTCTGGAAGAAATAAACACACAGCTGGTATCATTTGAGGCTAGAGTGAAGTGCAGTCGAAAGAATTGTGATTTAGGGGCAAAGCGGCCCGAGTATGGAGTTGACTGGCTGAGAATGACACGCCAATCAAAGAAATCGGACATTCATGTGACCTCTAAATGAATAGGTGTCAGCACCAAAGGCCATCTGTGAATATCTGCGGCTCTTAGTGGTTACAGAATTAAAAAACAATGGCGATGTGTCGGTAATCAAGGATGCTTGAGTTGCTAGTGTATTTTCAATCAGAGTTACAGACGAAGTGAACCAAACGGTAAGGATCGCTTCGCTTGTAAATTAAGTAACGCAGACGAAATGAACATGTGTGACAAAAACCAGAGAATCAATAGCTAACCGGACAACAGATGCAAATCTCCGTTTGGTTTGTCGACGATAGTTGTGGCGTAGTTAGGTTGGGGATTCAAGGAGAGATCTGGTGTAAGAGTTCCGCCGTTGGGGGTCACTGATAGTGAACCGACATCATGAGTCGCAGATGTCACCGCTAGAACAGAATCGGGTGGTTTTTGAGGGTTCAGTTTCACCGGTTCCAGTAAGCGCAAGTGGTTCGCAAAAGGAGGCATCTAAAGTGAGTGGAACAATCGTATAATACGGGTTAAAACAGCGAAGACTTGGCACTCCCCGCGCGATAGTGTGTAAAACACATAAGCTCGAGGAGAAAATTTGCCGCAAAGCGAACTGCCAATCTGTGGACTCACCCCAAAAATTTAAGTTAACACAGGTAAATTGGCCTACCTCGACTTCGTGAGGGTCTGGTAGGCACACTGCTGGCACTTCGTCGACATATGATGGAGGAGAGTGATATCATTTAGCACAAACAGTGTAATGCATTGTCAGATCGTTTTATAAAAAAGCGCTCCACGGCTGACAGATTCCGGTGAACCTCTAATCTGCTGTGTTGTGCGGCCAGCTTTAGCTGGTAGCCCATTAGTTTTTCGCTGTGTCTGAGCTCCAGGAGGTGGCGGTAAACGTGCCTGGCGTTTTCTTAAGTACCAGTGGAGAAAAACGGGCGCTCAGCATTGATCGATGAGGATAGCCTAATCCTAGATAAGTGGAAGCTCAACCATACACTTGAGGATTCAAAAAGCAACAATGAAGGCAACAGGCCGATAAACAAGTGACGATCATCATTGACTGGTTCAAAAGAGACGAAACATTGTCTCTTAGTTCTTTGGCGTAAAAGTGAACGCGTTGCTCTAAAAGAACAGTTAACATCACAAGCTTTGTGCGCGCGCATACACTCCATTTCCTCTACCATATACACCGGTAATCACTGGAGCAGGGAAACAAGAAGCTCAAGAGGCACGGCCAGAGTCTAAACGTCATGTTTGAGGATGCATTAGGTGAGATTTCTTCACGTGTAACATGATTCAGAAACGACATGGCCTCAAGTTCGTCACATCGCTATGAGTCTGTGGTAGTAGGGTAGTATACGCGAGGGCAGATCAAGCCGTTAAACCTTTCCTGACTCAGATCACATGCTGCTCTGTACGAACGTCTGCAGCACCGTAACATTGATACAAACAGGATATTTGCCCTATCAATTCAGCTGAACTGTCAATCTATCCTGGCAGATGCACTCTGCTTGATCCATTGTGAAATAACGAGCAACAATGCAGAAGACGATTATACCTCCCCGACAATCAAACTGCGGTCTTACCGAGCATCTTAAAAATGCCTAGTTCTTCACTCACTCCATTGATTCGTCGGACCGTCGTAGAAATATTCCACTGGAATCTAAGCATAATGAAGTACGCCATTCTCACAGCTGGAAGCTCAGACAAAGCCCATAAGTGCTCGCGAAGCCTGGTTGCCGCAGCGTGCTTCGGAAATCGGAGCCGCTGTCCTTTTTAGTAGTATTCGCTAGCTCATTCGGTCTAATGACCACAGGAAGCTTGGTGTCCATGAGACCGAAAAGCGAATGATTCGCCGATCGCTAACCTGCGGAGACGCTTGGATCGATGAGCAGAACATTCCCATTCCCAGTTCGATTGACCCACAACGTGCACTTGTGCGACTTGCGATTTTCAGGGTCGCAACAAGCGAAGTTGGGCACTGCCTTGCGATTCAGGACTGCTGGCCCAGACGTACTTCCTCTAGGCTGTTTGCGGCCCGTAGCCTTAAGGATTACAAGCCTGCCTTGTAATCTGAGGGCGCAGGTTTGAGCATGTTTAGGGACCGGGCGACCTTTGCAGTATCCTTAGCCCACGTAAGACAAGTGGTGGTTGCGCGGCAGCGAAGCGTCGGTACTGCTTACCGGCGTATTGCAAGGCTGTTCAAGGATGGCCGCGCAGGAATCATCAGCCAGCTGATATCATTGCTCTCCAAAATAGTATATGAAAATGTACTTTTTTCCTGGGGGGAATCAGTTATTTATCAGACTTTAATAAGGGTACTCGCACTTGATGCGGCAGATCCGTGAATTGCAGTATCGTGAAAAACGAGCTGAATTCTGTTTTTTTACGCAAATGTGTGGATCAATATTTCACGCTCCACACATCACCTATACCAGAAGCCCACCAATGTTACCTTCCTAGAAATCCATGTTGCATCCGACTCGATTGATCAACCTGTGCAACGGCGTTACTTGACAAGGAACGGGATCCGAAAAGCGAGTTGCAGTCAGTTTCCAAGGACGACATGTGCCGGCTCTTGGTTTTCGAGAATGGGTGCTAAAGGGTCGCTGACGTTTAGTGACAATAACGCGTCGTTCTGTACGGAATGCGAGCATTCTATTCAAAAGGCCAGTTTCGTTGCACTAACTGAAATGGTTCAGTCACGTCGCATGCATATCATCTGAGCCCTCATATTCTCGTACCCCGTTGGTTCGTACAGGATTGGAATGGAAAAAACCACGCGGTGGTTGGTCGTCCCCTAGCGACAGCATAGGAAATCGCTGATTTCACACCAAACATGGTTGGGGTCCAAAAGATGAGGAATGCCGAATGCTCAGAACGCTTCAAGATATGGCGCGCGACCGAAATCAGTGGAAGATTGGTGTGCACGTTTGTCTGGATTTAATTGCTCAAGGTTCTACAATTGAAAATGATAAAAACGGTGCGAAAGAATACAATGCCGTGTTTCGTTTCTTTACGTGGCAATTGTTCCAGTCCACTTCCGTTGAGCTCCGTGTTTTTAGACGGATCTGTATATTCATGGGACTGTTGCGGCATTCGGTATCGCATTTGTTTGTCAATGCGGCTGTGTACAGCCACGGGACACCTGTGCCTACTGAGAGACCATGGATGGCTTACGCTGCACCACCCACAGCTCCATCAGCACACCCCATATCCAGTGAAAAGCCGGACTGGGAAGCATGTAGATCAGAGCTACGGTTGATGCGAAATAGACCCACACACTTTTAACACGCGCATCATTCATCTGCAGAAAGAGAAACATGCATATCAGACGTATAGCAGACAGTGGTTGGGTCGTAGCCCGTTCCACACTGGATGTAGCCACTCTTTGGGCCTAGCACTGTCGCGAAAACTGTGCGCCCTGTTTCTCTCAGCAACGACCAACCGTCTTCTGGAACCAGTAAATGATGTGCCGGTTTTCGACAGGTAGGCACCTTGCCAACATTCACATCAGTTGGCAAACATCTAGGAGGGAAGAAGATAAACATGCAGACACATGTACCTACTGATTGTAGCATGTTTGGCTTGGATAATAAATGGAATCGGAAGCAGCGTACTTACGAATCGTTGCGCTGATGCCTAGCTATTCAATTTACTCGTCGCCTCTTCGATTTCAGCCCCTCGTGGCCACGTTGATGGCTTACCAGAGCGGTTTGACTGAGGCACAGACGACCGCCAAAGATAAAGCACCATTTGCTAGACTCAACCAGCACCTGTCGTTACCGTAGTCGGACATTTTCCTCCTGATGCAACGTTTTTTTGGTGCACTTAGGCAACGGCATTTTTATATGACCACGCCATTGCCGCCGATCCACTGCCTTTGATTTTTAACACTTAAGTTCAACAGTAGTTCGTGCTAGATTCAACATGATCATGTCCTGGTAACGTGGCTTCGGTTTTCCCAAGTTATCTACTCTATACTACCTTGGCCATAAAGCGGGTGTTTCGATAAACACAAAGTTGGACTTGGAGAACCCGCTGTGTAGTTGGGTTGCTGTACCAAGCGTTGCTCACGGATTTCAGTTGTATAGTGTTTATGGCAACATCCGTGAACCACTAGGCTCTGATTTCCACCCCAACTCAGGCTATCTCCACCTGATGAGTCCAAACCAGGACGAAACCGCGGTCGTGGGGTGCCAGTGTTGAAAAGAGCAACATCAAAATATTTTCATTCACATTCGGGTGTTTCGATAGTTTAGTCGATCCATGCCGCGTGCACGTCCGAGCCACCTCGAGCGTAAGCATGCAGCCCATTTCAAGTTCAACCTGTGTTAGTTACTCTGTCACACAAAGGGACTTCAATCTTTGTGACAGGTGAAGAAGATAAACACTTACTTGTGTTGTTATTGAGCCTCAGCGTGGCCGCTGTCGTGGCAGGGGATGTCACTGTGCAACCAACGCGCAGTCGTCGGTAGACAACAACATACGGATGATTGCCTCACTCCCTAGGGTTTTCATCTGGAAACGATGGATGTTCAGCAACCCACCATACATACGGTACTGCACACGGACACCGCAATCATAAGCATTGAGACCAATACACATAGTAGCTTTTAAGTAAATTTTAAACAGGATGCTGCCTTGTTTCACAACAGAGACGACATGTGAGGTTCGTTCACACAGCTGAACCCTCGATCAAATACCACTACAGAAACGTAAGTAAACGGTAATCAATTTTACCCGACACAAGCCACAATGCCTGGCAGTTCACCGTGTCAAATACGTTGGTGAAGTCTACAAACAACCAATACAAAGACTGTTGTCGCTCAGGTCATTTCTACTGCAATTGACGAGCCAGGAACACTATATATGGTGATGCAGTCCAAACGGAATCCGCACTGCTTTTCAACCACGTTTGATTCAACGACTTGAGTGACGACGCTGTTCAGCAGCATGCGAGCAAATAACTTCCCGACGCAACTGAGGAGTTGACGACACGGTAATTGTTGCCAAGCTGGCTTGCCGAACTACCTCCTCGTGGTGTCAGCTAGGTGTTTCGGGATCTGTTCGTTCCAGCAAACTGATCGGCGGTAGTGTTCCAGGACGTGGTGGGTTTTTGCCTGGCAAGCGTTCTCCTTACAAAAAGCCATATATATCCGTTTAATAACACTGTGACGTTGCGGATGTTACCCACCACTAAATAAAGTCACTGACCATTGCTTCGCCTCGCTGGAACATCGTAATCCTTCAGCTGAAGTGCTGGGAATAGTGCGTCCCGGTTTGGCAGCCCGCCAAACTAAAGGCGTATGAACCGAGTGATTAGTGACTGGCTCCCAGTGGGCGCGATTCCATGAATTCGCCCCGCTGTTTTGCAGTTCAGGTCCCTATGACCGAAGGCTCCGGGTTGGACCCCCTAAGTCCTCGGTCTGGGCAACTGGGAAGCTGTATACCCACACAACACATGAAATGATGGATGTACAACCTTC